TGATTTTTTTCCTCCATGCCACCGGGAACATTGTGTTATGGGAAAAAACGGGTTTAAATGCAATTTATCCTTTACTGATCGACAAACCTGGAACCATACCTATCAACATGCTAGATCTAAAATAATTCAAATAAGAACACATTTTATTCTTTGCTCTCTATATGACGAGTTTTAAAATTAAAACTATATGATGGATTATAAAAATGTAATGATACACGTTAACAAATCATAATGTTTAACCAAAGCGGGTGCTTGTGAGTTTGTGTAACGCCGCACTCTGTAGCATTCCAGCTGTATTACAGCAGTCTGAAAATAATGGAGTCTGGACCTGACAGTCCATGGAATGGTTTTATGAGCATAGATCTACGCAATTGGGATACAGTGACAGGTATCCACCAAATCAGCGAGCCTGACCACCCGATCCCGTTAGTCGCACCTTACGACACCTTACGCCTCTTACGACAAGCATGGGTTGCTGAAGGCCTATTCTAACCCGGATCTTCACCGGGGACTGAAACGGATAAAGTTATGGCCAACACTACATGTATATCAAGTAAACTTTCCCTTATCCGACAGAAGTAAATATGATTTTGTGTAAATATTTTCATCATACAATTCCTACAACATATCCACTTTCAGTGTTGCTTTTCCTTCGACCACAAAACCCACATAAACATTTACGAGAAATAAGTTGAAAATATTCAGATACAAATATAATGTTATTTCGATGTATACAATCTATTTTGTCAGAAACACACATGCATAAAAACTGTTAACCGAGTCAAAAGGAACGTTGGCCCTTTCTGCCAGACAAGAATCTGAACATAAATATTTATAACTAACGCTTTACATCTTGGAACATACTTTTTTGGTGTGTATAATTAAAACATTGAAAGTGCTATTATTATTCATATCGTTGTGGCTGCAATGCACATCAAATACAATTATAATCCACGGTTTTATGTAAAGAGTTATTGCGAAGGGAATATCTAAATTGTTTGAGTGGCATTCTAGAAGTTGGTGAGTATATAATTATTATAATAAATATGAATAATAATAAAAACTTCTGGTTCATTGCATTTGCGGTGTGTCGGTACAGATTCTTGCACCGTTATCAGGCTGGAGTGACTACAACTATTTTTTTGTTGTTTAACGCCGCACTCAGCAATATTCCAGCTATATGACAGCGGTCTGTAAATAATCGTGTTTGAACCAGGCAATCCAGTGATTACCATCATGAATATCGATCCACGCCATTGGGATACGATGACATGCATCAACCAAGTCAGCGAGCCTGACCACCCGATCTCGTTAGTCGCCCCTTACGACAAGCATAGTCGCCTTTTACGGCACTTTGTGATACATGAGTGAGTGAGCAAGTGAGTTTGATTTTACGCCGCTTTTAGCAATATTCCAGCAATATCACGGCGGTGGACACCAGAAATGGGCTATACACATTGTACCAATGTCGGGAATCGAAACCGGGTCTTCGGCGTGACGAGCGAACGCTTTAACCACTAGGCTACCTGACCGCCCCTACACAGGTAATAAAGCATACGTACAGGTAATGAAGCCAGGTGTACTGTAAGGATAGGGAGTAAAAAGTTGCGACAAGCTGATTGGATACTGCTTTATAAACAATCTTGATATTTAAACTGATCGTCAATGGATTTTCATACAGTTCCGCAATTATGAATTGTTTGTTTGTTGTTTAACGCCGCACTCAGCAATAGTCCTGCTATGTGACGGCGGGCTGTTAATAATCGAGTCTGGACCAGACAATCCAGTGATTGATATCATGAGCATCGATCTTCGCAATTAGGATCCAATGACATACATCCTACAGGTCACCGAACCTGACCACCGTTCGTCCCTTTTCAACATGTATGTGTTGCTGAAGAACAATTCTAACCCGGATTTTCACGGGTGTCATGGAACAGGCGGTATCATATACTGGGAAGGTGAGGTGAAATGGGGTTTAACGTCGCGTCCAAGGTTATTGCACTTATATAGCGACGTGCATGCACGTGTGTGTTTGTGTGGCTGCTTGTACTAGTCCGGACTGATGCCGATTTATAGTGCTAGCCCACTGAGATACCATGCCGCAGTTTAACATGAATACCCCTCTCAGACACAGTATACTGACTCCGAGCTGACCAGTCCTTGTTTTAGCCCCTTAATGCCGAGCGCCAGACAGGGTAACAACAAGTACCATCTCTTAGTATGACACGGCCGGGGATCGAACCCCAGACCTTCCGCTCTCCGGGCAGACGCTCTACCACTATCGTTGCGTGAAACCAGCGGTTGTGGGATGGGTCCCTACCATTAGTTTAACACGCCATTTGTCTGTCTGTCTATCACAAACTCTGATTTTGTTGTCACACATAGGATATGACAAGACCTACTGTTGTAATGGAATAATTCACCTGCTTCTAATTAGGCCGGTCTGCAGGAGATGTGATGCTTGGGGAGCTTCAGTCACAGTTTAGATACTAGTAACTAATCAATATTGGAAGATTCACTGTCAACTAAAGCATTTTTCAGATCCCGACTGAATTCCAGTGATAAATTAACTTGTCCGATGTGTTCATTTTATTGACACTGGCGCCGGGCAATGTGAATGTTACCCCCGTGGACACGAGTGGCAGCTAGAGGCAGAGCAATATCTCAAGCCTAAATAACAGTTTCAAACCTTTGTAGGGAGTGAGTGAGTTTGGTTTAATGCGTCTTAAACGGTATTTCAGTTATATCACGACACGTCAGCTTGATATGGGAGGAAAGCCTAAAGTGATGCAGGCCTCAGACGTTTACAACTTTGATGAAATCCACGAGCACGGGTATGGCGCTGACAAACCCACACTCGGTGCGAACGGGGTTCGAACCCACGGTCCCGGGTTTCTTGTGTGCCCAAGGGACACAACTCTGCACAGCAACTTCATGCCTTTGTAGCAAGATGTTATTACAATTCAATTTCATTTTAAGAAAAAAATAAAATCATATTAAATCATGTTGAGGAAATGCCTCTAACAAGAAAATGATTGAAAAGCTAACTTGCATTTTCTGTTACAAAGAATGAACCTAATGAGGGGAAGAAATCAATTTAATTCATTCTCTGATGATGAGGGCCTATCACGTTTTGGCGCCGTGTATATAACTACTGACAACAAGAAAATGATTAACCATTCCCAAGGAATAGTTTTTATAATTGTTTGCTGATATGAAGGCACAGAAACGTACCACTCAGCATGTGTACTACATAATATAATTTGATTTGAAGCTATGGCACGGAGTAATTTACAACCTAAAATTACCAAGCTGAAAGACAAATGCCAAATGATATTCGACTGATCAATACTAATAACTAAATGTAATGTTTTCTTCGATATTTTACGAGCTACTGAAAAGTGATTCTTAGCTTATTAGCTTCAATGTGGAGGTAGAAGTTTTGTGGCGAATCTCTGAAGATTAACATGAAAGTTAGTTTTTTATGTGTACCCGTGGTTGGTTGGCTGGTTGGTTTGTTGTTTTACGCCGCACTCAGCAATATTCCAGCTATATGAGCTATATCCAGTATGTAAATAATCGGGTCTGGACCAGACAACCCAGTGATTGATATCATGAGCATCGATCCACGCAATTGGGATCGATGACGTGCTTCAAACCAAGTCGGCGAGCCTCACTACCCGATCCCGTTAGTCGCCTCTTACGACAAGCATAGTCGCCTTTTACGGCACTTTGTGAGTGAGTGAATGAGTATGGTTTTACACCGCTTTTAGCAATATTCCAACAATATCACGGCGGGGTACACCAGAAATGGGCTTCACACATTGTACCCATGTCGGGAATCGAACCGGGGTTTTCGGCATGACGAGCGAACGCTTTAACCACTAGGCTACCCGACCGCCTCTACGGCACTTTGTGATAAGTGACTGAGTGAGTAAGTGAGTTTGATTTTACGCCGCTTTTAGCAATATTCCAGCAATATCACGGCGGGGGACACCAGAAATAGGCTTCACACATTGTACCCATGTCGGGAATCGAACCCGGGTCTTCGGTGAGACGAGGGAACGCTTTAACCACTAGGCTACCCGACCGCCCCCCGAGTGGTAAGGCTCGCTGACTTGATCAATGCATGACATCGTATCCCAATTGCGTAGATCGATGATCATGATATCGATCACTGGATTATCTGCTCCAGACTCGATTATTTTTCAGACCGTCGTCATATAGATGGAATATTGCTGGGTGCGGCTTAAACTACAAACAAACAAACATAGCGTTTCCAGCCACGCGTGTATGATTATAATACACAGCTTATGGAAAGAAAATGCAGTTGCATGTCTTTCTGACCATGTATTTTGGTACATCTTAATCGACGTATGCGAAGGGAAAGAGAGGGGGCAAGTTAAATAAGTAAGATCAGGGTACAACGACACAACGTCATGAAGCCATATCCACATGATAAAAGCACGGGTGATTGGATGTTAAACTGCTACAGGACAAAAATGTTAGGAATTTTCATTTCCTGGGTTTCATGTTATAAGGTCCCCGTCGGTACAAAAGTGTTGGTGTAGGCCTAGCATAGACTTCTACTGACAAAATCTCATTCACTTCACACACTCTTAATATGGCAGGACGAAAACATCAAACATCGATCTTTACTAATTTCATTTTCCGATGGAATTGGTATAGGGCGCCGTGATTATCAATGAAGCACGGGGGTTTCGGGAACTGTTGCAAGTCATAGATGCAGCCAATCGAATAAAAACGTCATCATGTGTTGTCAGCCGATGGCACCATGTACTACCGTTGACCCGAGATTCCAATCAAATCTAAAACCGAACAGACATGCTCAACGGTCAGGAGAGTGGTGGGCCATAAACGAAGGCTCTTGTGATAAAGATGTCATTAATCGTACTAAAAATACCGCCGGTAAAATCTCCCTTTAGATCACACCGATCACGAGTCAAACACTACATTACCCTACAGGAATATCTTACCTGTGTTTCCAGCTGAGGCAGGCGACTTCCGGTTGAAGCAGACGACAGCCTGATGTCGTCTGCTCGATACTGAAATGCTTCCTTTTGTGGGTGACGGTTGACTTTGTCTCTGGGGACATAAAGTCGGGTAGAGCGCCGTGCTACATGTAGGGCTGTGCTCGTGCTTGTGTTCCTGTTCGAGTCGGAAGCGAGACCGAGAGTAGACGAGTCCGGAATCCAACGACCAGGACTGCCGATCAATGATCGATTGAGCAGCAACTGGGAATTAACCGCTTCCACAGATTACATGGACAGTTGATAATAGCTTTTAAGGCTGGTTGATAAATTTATCAAATTGATCGTTTGCGCCTAGCTCGTGGTGCCGTCATATACAGGCGATGCGTTTGGAGCGGTTTGTGTGTTTTGCCATCCGTCACATGACGTCATTCCATACCTCTGGGGGAGACGAGTTGGTCAAGCATATATTTATCGTTACAAATCACCAGGGAGGTCGTCCCGTTGCGTTAGGCTCAAGCGAAAAACAAGACTTGCATTTGAAAAGATTGTATTGATTATATGTTCCCGTAATATCAATAAATCACAACATTAATCGAAGAGAAATACCGTTTGTTAAGTGTATGCACGTCAAAGTACTTATTGGTATCGATTTGTCATGATTATAAAATTTAAAACGGCTTGGATCGGAAAGTAATCAATATTACACTCCTGATTTGGTTATATATCATAAACAAAAATTTACGCCTGCTGAAGATGAAACGATCATATCTGATCATTTGATATACTGTTATATAAGATACAAATGTCTTTATGACAATTAATATGACAATTATATGTCCAAACGTACAATGGACATACAGGTTTTGAGATGGCCCACGACACCCTCTATTGTCTGTCAATCTAATCTGTACGCCCGACTGAACTCCCTATTCAAAACAATAGGTGGTGGCTGGTGTCGAGGAGACACCAGGGGGGGACAACCATGAGTGAGTGAGTGAGTTGGGTTTAACGCCGCTTTTAACAGTATTCCAGTTATATCACGGCGTGTCAGCTTAATGTGGGAGGAAAGCCCGAAGTGATGCAGGTCTCAGACGTTTACCACTTGGGTGAAACCCACGAGCACGGGTATGGTGCTGACAAACCTAGAAACCTAATCGGGGCGAACCGGGATTCGAACCCACAATCAAAGGTTTCTGGCGTGCCCAAGGGACGCAACTCTGCAATCGCGGTGTCTTAGACGACTGGGCCACCCGTGCCCCCAGGGACAACCATGTGCACTGTCTAATCGCTATGGTGTCACAGCCGGTGAAACTTGATTGCGCGGGCGATGATTTTTTTGGTACCAGTCGTTTGTCAAACATATCTAAAGAGTAGGGTTAGAATATTCTGTTTTGGTTTAATTTTTAGTTTTCAATATGTACGTTGTAAGTGAAAATGAGTCGTATGTCCGATGAATGGTATATCGGTGAATGAGGAAGTTAGTGAGTTAGAAGCGTGCAAAACTTCGAAACACTCATATCAGGCAGATCATAATATAAAAATAGTTTGTCAACATATAACGCGTCAATAATTATTATTTATCCGTGGGCAAGGTATTACCTTTTGTATTTTACTTTCCATCGTAATTGTATGGAAACCATAAACACAAGCACTAGCAAGTTGCAAACCATGTAGATATCTATAGAAGGATTGTCAACAGTTACAACATTGCCCACTTTTTAACTGGTGCTCTAATATTAAACCTATTAAACCTTAAAGGCATAGTGTGTTCTTTGTAATAAATAAAAACAAAAGAATAGTTGATTAACAAATTACAAAGCAGTAAATTATTTCTCCTCTATGCTACATTGTTCCTTTTTTATAGCAGACGTAGGTCTCGTGGAAGATGGTGGCGACATTTAACTGATCGTGAGGCATACGCACACCTTGGTCAGCCTCAAACATTTTTCTTCCGACACTACGGGTTTGGGTAGAAGAATACATCTAATCATATTGATATTTCACATTATATCTGTGGTACCAAATATCGTCATGTAAGATGTCACTCAAAATTGATTTACATGTATGATGTTCAACAACTATCGACCAGATCTGTGGCATATACCTCTGTTCACCCAGCACTGAATGGGTACCCGGTAGGAAGAGATGATAATGTGGTTCTTAACCTTCTAGCGCCTCATAGGCAGCTTGGGTTGTAACATGAAATGAAAAATCGAGTAAAAATGGGGTAGCTTTGGCGCATTATTGATGCACCCTGCATTATTATTATTATTATTATTATGATGATGATGATGATGATGATGATGATGATGTACAAATTAAAATTAAAAAATGCAGCAAAAAGGGTTTTGGTGATCCTGGCACAGTCAGGCTGGTTAGACCCATCGTCAGCTCAGGGCCCTTGCCCCCTCTACACGCAGCCCAGACACCAAATGTGTTTAGGATTTCAACACATTCCTAATCATGTCTTGTCTGTGTAGTACTACTACTAATAATAATAAAATTTATTTTTAAGACTCATGATGAAAGTACCAAATCTAAGGTACCGAGAACAATAGGGAGTCGGACAACTCGGTACTTGGGATGCAAGCATGACATTTTGAAAGCGAGGTCTGCATAATTGTTATGTTTTTTCCTGAATCTTGTCAATCACATGACTGTCAAAAGGGACAGAAAACTCAAAAATATAAATGGTTTCATTGGATGTATAAAAAAGGACAAGATCAGGTTTGTTGGTCTGGATACGTCTGAGGCAGTAAACGGACCTACAACAAGGAATTTTGTATTTATCATTTTCCATGACGCCCTCTACATATTCCGGGTCGTACCATGGATGGACCTCTGTGTCAAAACCACAAGCATTGCGAAGACGGTAATAAATGATCGACCTACACCATCAAAGCTGAGCATCCACTGACAATGTCTCATTAAATTCATTGCATAATCTACATTTCATGTTTACATTTTGTTTCACTTTTCAGGCCAGCCGAGTTCATCCAAGCAAAGGACTCTGGGGGGTTGCTGACCCTCTCAACAAACTGCACACGAACTCGAACTCGAACAGACAAGACATGTTTAGATCTAAACATGATTAGGAATGTGTTGAAATCCTAAACACATTTGGTGTATTCCATCTTGACGTTATTTCGGTAACACATGAAATGAGCTATCATCTAACAGCCTAAACACCACCTAGACACAACATCTCTATAATCTGATAATGTTCAGATTAAACATTAAAACATGTTTAGAATGTAAACATATTGAATCTTGTTTAGTTTTGTTTGTTTGTTTGTTTGTTGTTTAACGCCGCACTCAGCAATATTCCAGCTATATGACGGCGATCTGTACGTAATCGAGTCTAGACCAGACAGTCCACGCAATTGGAATACAATGACATGAACTAACCAAGTCAGCGAGCCTGACCATCCGATCCCGTAGTCGCCTCTTACGAAAAGCGTGGTCGCCTTTTATGGCAAACATTGGTTGCTGAAGACCAATTCTACCCCGGATCTTCACGAGTTGAGACTGGAAAGTATCTGATTACTACGATAGACCCTTAACCTTTCTTGGTTGCACAAATACTGATCCATTTTTACTGCTAAAATAAATTTAATCCCACCCTGTTACGTTACGTACAATATCATTGGAGTTTCTCGAAATCGACAGTTCGGCCATCGGATCCTGCCACGACTAGGGAACATAACTCTACACTTGGTTCTCTTTTTCCCCACCCTCGATGAAAAAGTGTAGTGTGGAAGGGAATCTATTAATACACAAACGCACTGTTGCAATAATCCATTGTGGCCGTGAACACGTAAAGTACAATGTAATTTTATTATCCCTGTGTTATGGGTTTTCGGATGCTTAAGAAACCGCCTCCCTGGTCTAGTGGTAGAGCGTCCGCGCGGAGAGCGGAAGGTCCGGGGTTCGATCCCCGGCCGCGTCATACCAAAAGACGTTAAATATGGTACTTGTTGTTACCCTGTCTGGCGCTCGGCATTAAGGGGCTAAAACAAGGACTGGTCGGCTCGGAGTCAGTATACTGTGTCTGAGTGGGGTATTCATGTTATACTGCGGCATGGTATCTCAGTGAGCTAGCACTTTAAATCGGCATCAGTCCGGACTAGTACAAGCAGCCACATAAACACAAACACGTACATGCACGTTGCTATATAAGTGCAATAATCTTGGACGCGACGTTAAACCCCATTTCACCTCACCTCACCTCTGATGCTTAAGAACCATTTTTATCGTTAATCACAAGAACAGTTGTAAAGCATCTCAATCACTTATAAAACACGACTTTATTTTAAAACCAGGTCATCATCTGAGTATTTACAATGTTTGTGTGACGCCACACTCCTTGTCTTAGCGTGAGTCCTCGCGATAAACATGGCCTTTCGAAAACGTTAGATGCCAAAACCTATGATCCGACGATACCATATGCAGGTGAGATCTAATTAATGGCCAGGTGCATCACACGTAGCACGAGAGTACGTGTATCTGGACAGTAATGATCCATGGATTCAATACAATGTAGAACCTGTCCAATTAGTGTCAACTTCGGAAACGTCGTTAGCAACCCATTGTTTGGACATTACCAGGTTTGGTCAAACACACGTCGTCGTGGTCTCGCAGCACGTTGCGGAGGCGTGTCCAACATTTCGCAATAATAAACACAAATCAATCGATTGTATCCTTTGCTTTTGATCAAAGTAAACGGTAACGGATACTATAATTGAAATAAGGAACGCTTCTTTGTCATAGTTTTTACTGAAATTTTTTTTCATCCTAAGGCTTTGAATAATTCATTTTACGCATTAATGATTATTCTGATGCATTAAATATATCTTTATAGAACACATGCTTTATAGTGATTCATAATTAGTTACTTTTTTACGACAACTCGGGATGGTGAGGACCTATTCTATTTCAGAATCCCACGGGGTTGCTACAAAATGTAAAATGAGTATTTCAATCGTTATTACCACAGTACAAGTGTCCTCCAATGTTTACAATAATACAAAGCATCGACCGCTATTTAAAAACATCCATTTTATACAAAAAACGTTCACACGAAAAAGATTTGTTAATACATGCATGCAATACACTACTTTAATTAAATCCATCAATATCAATCACGGATTGCGCTATATTTACACTTCTGATTTCTCAGTAGCGTGTTTCCTTACTTGTTAAAGCACGTATTTTCAAATTTAATTTGGTCTGTTTGCATGTTAAGATTCATAATCATTGGGCTACATAACGTT